AAAAGCTTATTTAAAAAAAAAAAAGTAACTGGAATGGCTTACTGAGAAAAACCAGCTCAGAATGATTCATTCATTCCACTACTTCTTACATGGCACAGATGTGTCAAATAATGTGAGGAGGATCTAACTAGGGTGATAACTAAGGGAAGTGACAGAGAAAGGTGACTGTAAATGACACTGGAAAGAAACAAGATCCTGAGACATAATGACAGATTATTTATAGCGAAATGACACACAAGTTAGAAATTCAATTTAATCAAGGTTCAAGGATCATCTACTGAGAGAAAAGCTGTTTGCTGCCAAGCAGTTTAGAGTGGGGAATGGATTGATTGCTAGTTCCTACCTTACACATTCAAAGCCGGAATTTCTCTGCTGAAGCTGAGGCTAGCACCGACAGAAGCTGATCTAACAAATTAAAAGCTGTTCTTTTAAAATCTTTGGAGTTTGTTCTCTTGTTCCATCTCCCAGGGGCAGAGGCCAGAGAACCTCAGTTTCATTAGTACAAAAAGACAGATCTGGTTTGGCAGGAGGGCAGAAGAAAGGCCTTAATAAATGTCTTTGTGGAATAGCATTGTAGACTGTTTTTGTGCAGAGTCCTGGTAGTCTGTTTCGACAGGCATGACTTGATGATTTCCCAGTCTGCTGTTCCATTCTGGACAAAAGACTCCAAGATGTGGAAAAAAGGAAGAAACATGCTTAAGGAAAAACAACTGGAAATTTCTTTTTTTTTTTTTCTGGAAAACTGCCTACCGTCAGACTGCAGAGTCTGGGAAACAGATGCAAATGTAATGCAAATGATATGTAAATTGCTATGTGGCCTTCTAAAAGGTTTTATACAATTGGAAAGGCCCTTGGGAAACTGCTAGCAGATAACAGTGACTAAGAAGCAGGGTGAACTATTTCAAGCCAACTTTGTCACACAGCCCTTTGCTGCCCTCCTAGTGTACTTTTTACAATCTTTTTTGCTTCCCCAATCCACCTCACCTGCTGTAAAATTTTAAAAAATGAAGTCTGTCTGTATAGAGGTTATCTTAGCTAATTACACTTTAAAATATACTGTACATACTGTATAGCTTTAGTTTTTCCTTCAAACACCTTTCTCACCAAAAGCCAAGTTAAATGTGCCACTTCCTAGAACAGTATGTGCTTCAGTGGATTATGAATGAAAGTGCCTCACTCTCAGTTCTAGTTACTACAGGGCTTTATAGATTTTTTTTTCCCTTCGCTCCACAGGAACTGGCACATTCTCTTTTAATATCTACATGCTACACGCAAATGTAATCCAGAAAAAAATATGTATACACACACAGTAGCTGTGAAATTTAATTTCCTTCAAGGAACCCCAGAAAACTGCTCAGCAAGAAAAGCTCAGGACTGCTGTGGCCTTGGCCAACCTAAGTATTCATTTTAAAACGAAAAAAAAAAGACCACATGTGATTGAGCTAAGTACATTTCTGTCTCCATTTAATTATTTTAAGAGGGGATGCTCCCATCAGATACACATTTAGTAAGAGTCATGGGATGAATTTAATAACAAACAACACAGCAAGTACATGAGACATGCACCTGAGCAGTTTATTCTTGGTTACAGACATGGGGGTCCAGAAGCAACTTACATTCACAATCAGTCCTACAAGTTCCATAACTTTTTTGGTACGGCAACGTTCTAGGGTGCCTTAACTTTTTTTCCGCAGGGTCAAAGGAAAGGAAATCCTGTCCTTTGGGTTTTTTACCACTCACTTTTCAGGACCTTGACAACTGCGGCCGCTAGAAAGCTGCCAGGCAGAGAGGCATCCCGGTTGATGCCAATCAGTTCATTGCAAAAGATAAAAGTGCAGAGACACTAATCTCAACAAACCAGGGACCAGAAAAAAAAAAAGAAAGAAAAAAAGACGAAGCAGGGACTGAAAACAAGACAGCTCCAGACAAAGGGTAACAAAGAAGGGATGGGGGGCACAGGACCAGGGGCTGTGCTGCGGGCATCCGGGGAGTCTCCTAAAGCGCGGAGGGGCAGAGCCGGCTGCGAGCGCCCTCCCGCGGCCGGGGCTGTGTCTTACCTCCTGGGCGAGCTTCTGCTTGAGCACCAGCGCTGCACACAGATAGCCAGCGCGGCCCACGAACAGCTCGTCCGAGCCGCACTCCAGGAAGGAGACTGGCGCGCAGACGGCGCAGAGAGCCCGGAACTTGCTGAGTGGCTGCACGTAGTCGGAGCGGCCCAGGGCGTGGTACACAAGCGTGGCCACCGCATGCACGCCCGCACCCCCGAGCAGGAAGGCGGCTCGGGTGTCGGCGTCCGGTTCGCCCCACTCCTCGGAGCGGGAGCACGCGTCGATGAGGCGCTTGGCTGAGCGCAAGTAGCGCTCTCGGGCCGTGGCGAAGAGCGGGCTCTGGGAGACGTGGTAGAGCATGTAGGCCACCCCTGCCACGCCGCTGTACAGACCCCCCTGGCAGCCGCTGCCCGCCGCCGTCGCCCCTCGGGCCTCAGCGCCACCCCCCAGCGGGGGCAGCTCCTCAAGGATGCGCTCGATGGTGGAGGTGACCAAGGGCGCCACCGCCTCCTCGCACTGGCCCGCCAGCAGGCTGCCCTGGTAGTCATCGAAGCGGTTTGCGAAGCAGCGCTTGGTGTCCATGCTGCTGCTCCTGGCCCCCTCAATGTCGATCTGGCGACCGTTTGAGGGTGCGCCCTGCAGCCCAGCGCCGCACCTCCAGCTCTCGGAGGCGGTCTGAAGGCGCTGGATGCGGCTGGGATGGAGCGTGGAGGGTGAGACGGGAGGTGACAAGAGGAGGCGGGCGCGAGGAGAGAGCACGGAGCGGGTGGACAAGTGGGGCACCGGGCTGCCGCGAGGCTCCTGAGTGGCCCAAGAGAGAGCGGGAATGCGTGTCGGGCGTCCCCCCTCCCTGAGGCCGCGCCCTCGCTCAACCCGCCCCCTCCTGCGCCGCCGCAGCTCAGCCGACTCTCCAAGGGGCCGAGGTGATTTCCTCCAGCAGGACCCACGCGGGCCCGCGCCACTCCTCCCGCTCCGCCCTCCGCTCCTCCCCTCCCGGCAAAAGGCCAGGGACGTGCAGGACAGGGATCCGGAATGCTCAGGCTGGGAGTTAGCACACCTGGCAGTGGAGGTGATGACCTCCAGTCCCTTGTGTGCTCAAAGTCTGTGTCTTAGGGCAGCAGCAGCAGGGAACAGATCAAAAACCCAGTGCCACAAGCTTCACCAAAAACCTACTGAATAAAAAATCCGACTCTATAAAAAGTTCTCTAGGGTATAAGCATGCACAATGAAGTTTGTGGAGCCACTGAACTAAAACGGATTAGTGACTGGAAGCCCTCTGGCAACCTTGTTTCCCATCTTGTTCACTCCGGAGTTTTAAATGTCTCAGTCCCCAAGCCGGTAGATTCACTGCTGGGCAAGGTTGAACTTTGTTAGGCCTTAATCACTTGGGGAAATTGAGTCATAACAAAATCATGATTCATTTTAAACTGTTTTGGTTGTTTTGTCTAAGCTTTATCTAAATGTTACACATAAGTTATCATTAAAAGACTGGTAAATCTTTCCTTTTGTGTGTTCAGCAACAAAAATCTTAGAAAGCTACAGCAATGAGGATATGAGGATCAAAAGGGGATATTTTGACCCTTCTCCTCTAATGTCAGGCAAGATACAGAGGATAAGCCGCCTGTGTTAATTCAATCTCCAGAGATTGAATTAACCAGTGCACATCTTATAAGAAGGGGACTCACTAGGGCCTCAGGCTATATTTGACATAATACAAAAGTTATAAATATATGGGGATCTACACCATTGCTAAACAGGTGTGTGGGAGATGTGTGACTTACCAAAACATAAACAAAAAGAGAATGAAAAACAACAAACCTCAGATTGGAAGGTCTCTGGGGGCGAAACCCTTTCAGAGTATCTAGGCAGACATCACAGAAATTCCTCAGTTATAAGAACTAAGATATTTACTAATGATAGTTGGCCACCTTTCCAGGTGGATAGAGGACTTCTCAGCTGCTGTTGCTTAATGTGATTAAGATTATCTTAAATTAAATTGTGAAATGATATGGTCTCATAGAAAATACAGGTTCAGACAATGGTGGTCACTTCGCCTCCAGAGTGATGAGGGGAACTATGAAAAGTTTAAATATTAATTAGGGTTGTTATATCCCGTGCTCCCTCCATATCTGGAAAAAGAGAAAGAATGAACCAAACTCTTTAAAAAACACCTGTATGTCAGTGGGTCCATGGACATCCCCACTATGGAAAACAAAGACCAACTTTTGAAAAACTGAATACTGTCTATCTCCTCCACTGTATCATCCCTCAGGTCTAAGGTACTTCTTGTACAAGCCTCACTTTTGGAGTTTGCACTTCATCAGTTCCAACCCCATGACCTGGTGCTGATAAAAATCTGGAGACAAGCTCTAACCCAGAGGGAGGAAACATGAAATGAACCTGACCACCAAATCAACTCTATGAAAGCAGCAGAATTAATTATACCTATGTCAAGGACCCAAACAGGGAGACTCCACCACCCAAAGGAGAAGATCAATGAGAAATAATATAGGTCATCTATGGAGCCTTTAAAATTAATTCTGAAAAAGATCTCGATGCTATGTTATTACCTAAAGGACATTTTATGTATGGGGTTTATTTTGTTTTCACTTTTGCTAACTGTGCTACTTATAGTTTGTGTTTCTGTGAAGCAGAAAAGCCTCTAACTAAAAGAATACATCTAATCCAAAATCCAGAAAAAAATTGTTAAACCAATCCGGTCTTAGAGCACTGAATTTTCTTATGGGAATCTGTGGTTGACCCCCTCCCCCCAACTGGACTCTAACACATGTAGGGTAGATTAATATTGCACAGGAAACAGAGTTTTCAGATTTTATGGAGGAATGTCCAGAAAGTCACTCAATATTCTTTGCCTTTCAGATTAGTGATTAATGTAACTAACACCCTATCACCCCTTGCTATAAAATTAAATGCTTTCTAAGTCTTACATTGTGATAATTTAGAAAGTTAGAAACAACAAGCAAAAAGAAGGTAATTAAGATCAATGATTTAAGATAGACCTTAAAATTAGAAATTGAATGTGGAAAATTGAATACTTGAGCAAAATGTTTTAAATTTACTGTACATGTGCTCAGTAAGACTGATTGTTATGCTTGCACTGAAGAATATCCCCAGGCTCAAGTAGTACACCTTTCCCTCAGATGGACTCCTATCAGTGTAAATTACATGTTAGTCCTGTTTCAGGATAAGGATGCTTGGGGAAATGAGACTTGTCAGAATCTGTCCCTCTGGTTTTTTGGCCTATGTGAATTCTTCCTTTCTCAGTAGTGAGGGTGAATCATGTCTCATGCAACAGAAAGATGGATTCTCTCACACACTGAGAGATCTGGGAGTCTATACCCAAGTCCTGAATGTCTCAAATGATAAAGGGGCTAATAGTGATTACTTGTATATTCAATGTCTCTAGAGCTAATGTATGATGGTATCATAGATAGGGAAACCTTTACTAATGCCTACCCCCCAATTGGTATGGGATCTGTATGATGATTCAGTTGGCCACACCCTTTACCTGTCCTTCAATTGTCTTCCTCTTAACAAAGCTAATCCTAGGGCTAATATCCGATTCCCCTCATGTCTACACTGAATCTATAGGAGTCCTAGAGGAGTTCCAAATATATTTAAAGATAAAACCTAGGTAGCTACAGGATTCAAATCAGTTATATTCAGTTGGTCAATAGCAAATAAGGATGTAGAATAATCAGCAAAGATTTATCAAATATACAAGAG